ATGTAAAATATATATATATATATATATATATAGACACACATATATATATAGAGAGAGAGAGAGATAGTACAACACCTCTACAACATCAGATAGAGGAAAAAAAAAAAAGTTAATTTGAGAACTCTCATTTTATAAAAAGATAAAGGTCAATGCTGATGGAAACCAACTAGAAAAAATAAAAACAAAGCTATTCAATTCTATACCAAGTTTTACAGCTGTGAAAAATAAGTAATACAAAATCTCTAAACATTAACTGAAGAAACAAAACAATTACTCAATTCAATAGCTCCATCACAGTATACTAACTTTTTTCTTTGAAGATAAAAAAAATTACAAAATTCTCAATAAAGTATAAACATTCAAAGCTCCAGGCATAAAAACACAAAATACTAATTTACAGCTCACCACATAAGACATCTTCAATTAAAACAACAAAATACATTTACTGCAACATCAATTTCAGGTGACAAAACAAAAAACAGACACACACACAGACAATTTAAATACTCTAATATGGGTATTACAGTATCTTACCATACTTTTACAGAATAAGAATTTTAAAGACCTAACAGAAGAGTATAGCATTTTAAAAATTTGTTAATTTTTCATCAAAAAGAAAAGCTGAAAAAATTACTGTAATACATAAAATATAAAACTTCCATTTCAATACAAAACTAATTACAAACTGAAGTATTATTAATGGTAATTTGATAAGTGAGATGCCAAGGTGTGTGTAGTTTTATATACAGTGTATTTTCCCATTGCCAACAAGCTTGTATAACCTACGAGCTAATAGAAACCTAAAAATTATAAATGTGTGTAATAAACAATGACAAAAATGTGTCTTGGGTGATCTTTGCCTAATACAAGGAAGAGTATGAAGTACTGTAAATTAATCAACAGTTGGTGGTATTTAACCTTTAATAAACAAACAATATATTCCTTAGGTTCTTGTTTTTTAACTTAAGTCCATTCATGTCTTTAATCATTAATTCAAACAAATATTTTGTAAACTGGTACATTTATCCATGATCACTTATTTTTTACTGAAGACTGTATGACAATTCATAAATTACAACATCCCTCATTTTGAACACAAAATGATAAGTGACTACAATTCAATTTTAAGTTACTTACAAATGATTTATTCATTGCTTTTTTAACTTCATCAGATCCTTCTGCGTAAATTTTCTGGAAGAGTTCATTTAAAGCAGCTTCTCCCTCAGGTTTTTCAGTCTCTTCCTCTTTTTTTATGTCTAGAACTAGCTTATCCCAGTCTTTCTGATGTTGGGCAGATGAGGGATATACAGTAGGAGGACCTGCGCTAGCTGAATGATCTTATTTTGAAAAAAGATCCAAGGTTTTATTTAAAAGAATTCAAGCAGAATAAGATTAGTGTTCTTCATACTCTGGTAACAAATATACCTTTTGATATAACTAATAATAATTAAAAAACATTGTACAGAGCAACAGTATCATTACACTTTTGGTTTATTGCAGAAATTGCTTTAGCATACTTCAAGAATATAATACTTCATTGAAATCATAATCAAACTGACTACGGTTGTGTAAAAAACTCATTATCAAAAACGTTTCATTGAAGTTTTCCTGTTGGCATACTGGCAGCTTATTACCCTATAAAATTAAAATGATTTTAGTAAAAGTTATTGTCATTAAAGTTTCCAAACACATGACTTGTGTACACAGTTCCCACACCTTGGGCAAAATGAATTTCCTAGACTTATCCATGACCTTTCTCTGACCAAAACACATTATTCTTTGACTATATGATCATTGCTTGTAATGTATCATTGAACTATAATAATAACTGAAATTAGAAAACATTATTCATGTACTGTTAAATAAAGACAAGACAGGCTATATGTAAGAGTCACATTTTACTTAAAATCTCATCTTGCAAAGTTTCAGTATCATTGGTTACACCATTCTCAAATTATTAATACTTTATCAGGACATAGATAACAAAGATAGTTTATGAGTGCATACCAAACACATCTTTAAAATTTCAATTTAAATCACAAAAACAAAATTATACATTTTAAGATTTGTGATTATTACTTTTGACTTTTAGTTTTACTTTTACTGTTATAAAATGGGATATTATTTAGCAAGTATGCTTCTTATATGTCAAATATTTATCAAAGCAATATTTTCTGATGTGTATACAAGCACAAAAATGTGCAAGATTTCCAGCTGCTACCCATATATTGTAGTGAACTCATACTTCCAATGCCTATAAAACAACTGCACACATTACCAAAATCATCCAGTGATCCACAACACATTGTATTATTTTAGCACATACTTTGAAACTGTGTATATCAAGTTCACCTATACCAAAAGTGTGACTATATATGTATTGATTGATCATGTTACCTAAAATATTTTCTAGTTTATGCAAGTTTTGAATATTCAAAGATCACCAGGCTATACTTACAAATAATTAAGTTATAAATTCTAATTACACATACAGGAGACTTCATACATGAAATCAACCCTTCTGATAAAACATCTACAATATTTATAACTGCAGTATAATACTACACCATCACAATGCACAATCATACTGGAACAGCCATAAATGTTACTGCACACAAACATGTTTGTCATTGACAGTAATATTGCATAATAGTATCACGCTACTCAAGTTTTTCATTTCATTTTTACATACTGTTGCTCATCACATTAAATAAAAATTGCTACTAAATCAAACTTTTACTATAAGTATTCACATTATATCTTAGAATTATTTAACAGAATCAAAACATAGTGCCATAAATGGTAGATTGTTCCCAACTCGTCAAAAATACAAGCAATTATCTTTCACAGAAGCCTTAACAAGAAGTACCCGCACCTCAAAAAGTTCCAACTTAAACTATATGATATACCCATAACATTTTCCACAAACACTATATTCTCAGGTGTAACATCTACCATGCTTCTCATATTCAAAGTATTCATCAGACTTCTTATGGAGTATGGCTCTATGATAACCTGTAACATGCACAAACATACAGCTACAGCTACTCCAGAACTGCACTACTCAAATTGCACTACATCTATCACAGTACACTCCAACATGTTATGTTGAAAAATCCTCCAGTATCCTTTCATTCAAAAGGATTCGTAAAATTTGCCAATAAATTTTATGAGAAAGCCAAAAGACGTAACTCACTCAAAATGCAATTGCCTACATCATAGCCATACCAGCCTCTTGGCAAAAAATACATATCACCTTACAACATATTCCACAATACATAACTTAGACCTCCTGGATGTTAAACTTACACCAGCACATATGATATTTAGTTTATGTTACTAATTTATTTTCTCTTAGGAATTTTATTGTTTCAGATCAAGCCTGAATACATAAAATCTCCTATCCAAATCTTGGGCACTGGTCAAGTTGAACATTCAGCACTCGATCAGTGAAAGTGGTTTCTAGGGGTACTTCCATTTCCCCCCTACGCAAAAATAAATAAAACTAAATGACCAGCATTTATAGTCACCCTGAAAATGTAAACGTTTGTTAAATGTCCATCGACCCTCCATCAGCAGGGCCTTGCTTCTTTTACTTCTATCAAGACAAATAATTAGTATAATAATATTAATTTGTCAAGATAAATATTTTTTTATCCAAATAACTGCTATGTTCAACTGAACAGATTTTTTTTATTGTAATATGGTCTTGGATTCAGACACAATGACAAACACACTTCTCGTACTTGACAGCATTAACACTACACAATCTCCTAAATAATCAATATCTTGACCTCAAGAACATACAACGTTCTGGAAGCCTAAAACTATTAATTCAATTCTGTCAAGATGCACATGTTCATCTTTACTTTCAGTCTTTATTCTTTCCTGTATCTAGCATCTTGTTTGCTGCTTAAAAAAACAGTACATTTTCCTAATACGTCACTCAGATGCATTGGATTACGGATTATTAGGTAAATTTCATTAATTCATGATGTACTCAGGCATTCACTGGCACAAATTCAAATGTTTCTATAATGATTCATGGATAACAAATGGCACCGTATTCTCTGAAACTCTTACAAGCACTATATTACTAGTTACTGTCAATGTAACATTCTATATTTCAACATCTTTTTCTTTTTACCTCATTTTTTTTCCAAAACTTGTCGTTATCTCCAAATTAACAACATTATACATTGCTTTATAAGTTTTCTTAACTGTCATTGGTGACATTCTACCTATCCCATGGAGATAGTGTCTGTCAATGACTCCTGTTCAAGCTGTATTATGCATTATCACATCATGTGCTATAGGCAATGCTTAGTGATGTATATTTTGTTTTCTGATTAATTAAAACAAAGTTACTAAAAAATCATTATTCTATATGATTATTATAGTTATTTTTGGTAATTAACTGAATAGACATACGCACAGATATGAAATAAAACTCCCTAAAACTATGTAAATTTGTTATATCTTTGAACTGCCAAAACAATCAAATCTTTTCAACACAGATATGTCAATGACACATTCCTTCTATGACTAGTCATGCAGACTGTTTTATTAATGCACCAAAATCTTTAAGATCAAAATAACTTATTTAATGGAAAGAGCCTATCTCTAAATAATAGTTTGTCAGGAGCTTTTAAGGCTGTAATAAAACGATCCTCCATGAAAAACAAAATGAAGTATGATAAAGTGGGAATCTAGCTACTGTATAATCTATTACAGTTAACAGTAAACAAAAAGACTGATATAGAAAAAAACAATGTGTATGCATAAAATATGCTTATTGATGTGCTAAATGCATTAGAATTAACCTTTATGCAATTTTTGAATGCTACTGATAACTTATATTTTCGTCATCCATGTTTTAGAAGCACCACTGAATCACAAGAAATTCAACTATTTCTCTCAATTTTTGCTTGTAAAATAAAATTCCTTGATGTTTCCTTGGCTGGGAATGCAAAATATAAAATACACTGACTTTTTCCGGTTTCTCTGATGTGTAGAAAGTATGTATATTATTAAAGTATTCATCATTATTTTGTTTATTCATAAAGTAATACATCTTATTTCACTGAAGGATTTGTCATTTTTCCTAACATTTACAAGTCACTAAATCTGTATATTTAGCTATATTTGTTTGAGTCATAGACAAAGTAAAAATATCTTTAAGTGAAATGGATGGACCATTTCTCTGTTTAGTATCCTCTGTAGATTTCACTTACTCATGTAAAGTTAAGCAATTATTATTTTATTTCTACCTATTAATAGTTAATAAATTAAATAGAAAACGTACCATTATGTGTCCAACTTTATTAAAATGTGTATGGGCATGCTCAAACTCATTTTGGCTTGACTACACTACTGGTTGTAACCACCTTTGTAAAAATATGTTTTTCTCATAAATATCATAATTTTGTAAAATAATGTTACAGCTATAGCAATTTTCACTTTGGACACAAAAACACAGTTCTGTAATTTAAAATTTGATTATATTTCTTGAAAATGCTATCAGTAAGTTATGATAAAAACAGCTACCTTGAGGGATTTGTTTCAATTTTCTTGTTTCTTCAGTCTTTTCTAGTGCCGTCCATCGGATACCTTCTGCTTTTTTCATTTTGATTTCAATCTAGAAACACAAACAAATATGTATTAACTAGTAGAACGTGTTTAAATTCAACAAAATATGGAGTTGTGGTATTTCACTCAATTAATTAACGTTTTTTTTCTTACTACACACAAACGAATATCTGGCCATTATGATGTGCTCTTTTTAAAAGTTCATTTAAAACTAAAAATCATCTCTGGCAATGTTGATACTGTGAGTACTCACCCCACCTTCAAAGGATTTAATTAATCATCCACATTTTTTTGCAATTATTAACAGAATTCTCAGAACTCAACAAAACATTGAATTTGTAAACAAAATTTTAGCAAATTATACAGAAAACCTATTCAAAGCTCGGATAAAAACGAAACATGTGCAAACATGTTTATTGCAAATGCATATTCTTTAAAACATAAAAATATAACATTTTTTGTTACCATAAAATGACATAAGCATTACAGGAAAATAAGCTTTTAAAAAATAATTTTGATGATAAAGCATTACACAAAAAAATTATGATTTAAAAATGTTGCAGTAGAAAAGGGATTTTGTTTTTAATTTTTGAAACATGTACACACGAATATTAATGTGCATCCAGAAGAGGATCTCTTAGTAGACCTTACACATGTGCATACAATTGTTTTTGTGTATTTCTTTCTCTTTTCTTCTTCTTCATATTCATACACATTGGACAGACATCCATTTTCCAAAATTATATTATTGTAAGATTTCTTAAACTAAATACATGATGTTCAGTGGTATTATAAACAGAAACTTAAGTTTTTCTTCAAATTAACTTTATTCAGAAATATATTAAAATTATTTAGAGATAAAACACAAATATTAAAAATAATAAAATATATGTTATAATATCTATTTTTTATTCTACCCATGTACATGCAAAATTTGTTAAGAGTAAATTAAAATGTGCAAAACCATCGGGCTAACATGCTTAGTTTTTTTATATAAAGAACTTTTGATTGTTACTACTGATATAATAATCTATTAACATTTACTACAAACTAACATTTACTAAAAAATCTTACTACATACAGAGACCTGTTAAAATACGATGTACTTTTACATTTATGTCCCACTTTGTATGGTTTTTTTTAAATATCAAAATAAGAGCATTATGTTTTTAGCATGATGTCACTCCCACACTAAGTTCTGTATGAAAGCTTAGAAGGTAGTGTCATTAATGCATACCAAAAAAAATCTCGAGTCATTCCAGTAGTTTAAGTTGTGCGTGGGCTCTCAGTAGAGAGAGAAAGTTAAACATAGAAATATTACTTACTTTAGAAGGAAGAAGTTTCCATGAACTTTTGGATGGCACAATCTCATGAGATAATTCAAGTTCAAGATTATAATCTGTTCCACCAGGGAGTTTTATTGAACAACTAAGCTGCAAGAGAATATACGTATAAACAAAAACAGTATTTTTTCCAAAACAAAAGATGAAAAAAAGCAACTGGTTGGCTATGTTCTACTAATAAATTCAATTTCATTTTGCCCATTTTGTGGTGTAAGAGCCACTATTTCTCCCCTCTGTGTATTTGTGTAATGCGTGCATGCATACATGTGACCTACAAAATTAACTTGAATTGCACATTATGCACATATGGGTTACATGGCCAGGTGTGAAACCCACAGGAAACAGTTACAACCAGCTAGTAGCACCTGCCACCACAGCAATCTTGTTCAGATCTGAATGGAATAATAAGATTGACTGTTACTTTTAGAACATGCCCACAGCTGCACCACTTTGATACACAACCCAACATGCTAACCACTGAGACAGACTCAACACATCGGGATCTAATTCCCCGAAGAAAATATATAAAACCTTTTACTGTCTTTCCATTTTTTCTATTTCAAAAATAAAATAACATATTTGACATTTGTAACATAAATAAAAAGTGTACAAGTAGATTTATACAAAAATTATAATTATTACAATAATTTTTCAAAAAAATCAATGTAGTGTTTAAGCTAATAATATTGTGAAAAAATCATCTAAACTTTTGTGTCAATTTCTCAGTTTTTGAATGAATTTTACCAACTATCTTAGACCAATAATTTTTGTTTAATATATTAATTACTTACAACTGAAATAACACTATAGAAAACATCTAATGCTCTTCAAAAGCATTTGAGATGTTTGATCTCTAAAATAAAAAATGTTGCAATGGACACTAAAAAACTTCAAGTCTGAAATTCAGCTAGCTGTAGCCTATATTTGCATCTCAATAGTTGATTTACTCCCAAACTCAATCTTAAACAATACTTTATATTAGAAAAAAAAAAAATAATATATATATATATATATATACATACAATTCTAAATCTACTTTTTAGAAAATTTAAATCATTGAAACAAATACCATTTCTAAGTAGTAAATATCTTAATTAAAACATGTACAAAAACTATTAAGCATTGTTACTCACAGTATCTTTTCCACTTACATATGAGTATGCATTCCCTTATAAAACGTTAATAATTAATGTAACTAAGCAAGTCTTGCCAGAATATGACTTATTACACATTAAAAGCATATGAAATGTCACATAAGCCTTCACATTTTCATAAACAATGAACTTAGAAATCTTAGTTTTTCCCATATTTCACACAAGGTTTAACAATAAAGTACACATAAAACAAACTAATTATATACTCGTGCTTACTCGGTTAGCTAGAAAGAAAACTCAAAATCATGTAAAATGCAGGTGAAGTAAACTCTATCATCACAAAGCAAGGAGACTGTGAATTGTACTTAACATACAAAATATTAAGAATGACTACAAGAAATGCAATGTGTCTAGTTTTTTTGTTGTTGTTTTTTACAGATGTAAAAAATGCCCTTTTGAAATAACAACACATTATGATTTAAAAATGTTGTGTTCTGTATGATGTGACAAGACAATCTTAAGTTTGCTTAATTATTAACTACATGAGCTAATCCAGGCTTCTGTCAGTTGTTGTAGGGTGCAGGAAAGATAGTTAATGAAATGTGTAAATGACAACAATGTATGTTTGTAACAACAACAAATATACATACATGCCTGATAACTTTACATTACTTTTAATAAGAAATGTTAAATAAACTATGATTGTGAGATAAATAAAGATCTTTCCAGAAACTTTATATTTTAGTAAAATAGAAGGGGCATTTTTTATCTCATAATTGTGCCAGAGTAAAACATTTGTATATGCTATATTTTAGGAAACTCAGACAATCAGAACAATTGCAACATGTGCATTTTATGCTTGTGGTGTTCGTTTTCAAATCATTTATGATTAGCAAAGCTTTATTTACTCAAATTAAAAGTTTGTACATATATATAAGATTATCACTGCCGGTAATTACTACAATGAAAATCAACAGCTTAAAGCTTACTATCAAGCTAAGAACATAAGAAAAGACAAAGTAAAGTAAGCCATTTAGCCAACCAACTAAAACAATGCAACCAAGTTAAATGTATCTCTTTACATCCTTATCCATATTAAAACAAAACTCTTTAAGTAATTCAAATAAATTGCATATACACCACATTATAAAACTATTCCACTGACTAACAACTCTATTTAAGAAAGTCTGCATATAAGCATCCAAAACTTAAACCTATTAGCATTTATGGTTGTCTTTTCAAATTTCACATTTTGCCACTCAAACAGACCATCCACATGAAAAATGCCCATTCTCTAATAATTTTGAACACCAAAAGCAAGATACATGTTCTTTTAACCTCTGGACTAAAAAGTTCAAAACTTTAAGCTACAAAATTTTAAGCCTATACTTATAGCTTAAATTATTTAAATAACTTATTATTTCAGTTGTTTATATTTGCATTCTTTCCAGCACAATGATATCCTTCCAGTTGTGAGAGGTTCAGAAATAACAGCACAGAAAAAAATCTAATGCTCTTAAAGTGTATTTTAATTAAAATTTTTACTTAACATAGAAGTAAAAATCAAATAAAAGCTGACCTCACCAAAAATTAAAGATGCTGCAATGGATAGAAAACACTTCAAGGCAGAAATTCAACTAGCTTCAACATACATTTGCATCTCAATACAGTTAAATTGCTGCAGGTCTCATGAACGTATACTACAACCTTCACCCTGTTAAGTAAAACACTTCTCTAAAAAGAACCAAGAACTTTATTTTTTCTTTTTGGCACAACGATTAACACTCACTGAAATCTTTAAAGTTTTATCAACAATCACATCTAAATCCTCTTTGCCTATCACAACAAAGCTCCCCTTTCACACAAAAAAAAACAAAACAAGTATTCTCCCAATTTTCACACCCAATTTTACTTTCTTAACATTAAAACTCATATTCCAACTTCTGGTAGTCACTAAAACTGTCAAGGTCTTCTGAATGACAGACATATTCTCAATGGTATCAGCTGTTCCTACCATCTTAATATTAACCTTTATTGAATTTCAAAACATTTTTATCCAAAAAGTTCTCTAAATCAAAAATATGATCAATAACAAAGGTATCAAAGTAAATGCCCTAAAGAATCCTATTAATTACATCTTACTAAACAGAAAAATGACTATTCATCACCACTCTGCTTTCTACCTCTTCACTAATTTTCTATTTATGTTTAACTTTTCTGCCAATTTAAATTTGCATTTACTGTATCTATTAAAATATATTTATATAGCTTACTGTCAGAAGCCTTAATTCATGTACTAAATGTGTTTTTTGTTTAGAATAGAAAATATAATACCTAGTAAATTAAAACTGTTTCCAAAATCCAGTAACATTTGAAACACTGAATCATAACTATTTGTTACACTGCTGTCAAATATGTAATTCCATACAACTTCACACTAAAGTATGTAACATACAAACCAACAGCTTTCCAATCACTGAAGATTAATTTATAATACAGAACAAGTTTTTTGTTGTTTTTTTTTCTTTCTTAATAGTACAGCTTACAGTCATACTGCAAGATACAGGTCAATAGGAGACAATCTTACTAACAAAAAGCTTATAAGCAAGAAAATTTAACTCTTTTCTTTCACTTCTAAATTCTTCATTTTGCAAAATAATGTTGAGATTTGAAATACAAGCATCATAGTGGTTTTTTTCTTACTATGATACATGTTTTAATATAAAATTAAACATAAAAGTCCAGATTACAAGAAAAATATCTGTAATAGTAATTTTAGATTTTATCACAATGATATGGTTTAGGCTTACTTCTTACGTAAGTAAGTAAAAAATAGAGTAGACTGCAAAAGGTTAAAGTCAATGCAAGAACACAGTATATAACTGACTTAAACATAGTTAACAATAAGCACTCACATTTCCTTTCACTTTTGTGTACAAATCTAAACTCAAACTCTTCATTTCAGAGAAAATGACATGAACTTACATCTTCTGGGAGAAAAACAATCTTCACATCATCGTCCTTCAGATTTTTCAGCAGAATAGTAATAACCACATGACTTTCTGTCTGATACCATTCGTACCTTTTGGAAAAAACATTAAAATTAGTTCATTGGTATTTCATAACATGGAAAGTAGTTAATGTCTCTGCAACAATGACAAAAATTATACTTGTGTGTAAAGTACACAACACAAACTATTGTACTATTAAACCATTGTTCATCTTACCTTTACAAGTCTGCAACAAACAACAGAACTGTACTTGTAAACTTTCAGTACTAGAATAGTTCCTTTATTATACAAATTCAGTGAAAAAAACTGCATTAAAACACAAAAAGAAATTAATTAATTAGCTGCAGAAAAACAATTACAGTTATTACAGATCAAAGAAATCACCATAATTTATGTTATTCACACAAACTGCACACAGACCATGATTGAACTACAAAACACAGAAAAAACAATTTACATAAAACTACATAAAGACTATGGCGGGTTGACCATAATGGTTGAAGTCTACGGAAATAATTAACTTAATTTTATATAAACACAGGTTTTTAAAATGTATAAATAAACAACTGATAATATCAGCCTTTATTTTTTCTTACTTAGGGAAAAATGTATTCAAATAGTTTTTCTTGATATCCATAAAATGTAGATATATAACACACAAACAATTATTTCAGGGGTTGAGGTTGTAGTAATAAACTCTTAACACTAATATTCATTAGTCATTTATATTACCATTTTAATGTATTTGTTTTTGTATTCTTTATGTTGAATCAGAAAAGAAACATATATAAAATACATGCAAGATATAATTAAGTGCAAAAGAAAGAAATAGGAAAAAAAGAATTTCAGCAGCAAGCACTGTCATAAATTGTTTATGAATAAACACAAACACAGCTCATCACAGTCATTAGTTACAAATATGCTGCTTATGCATACGTTTGGAGCATATATATATACTACATAGCAAAATCAGTCTTAATATAAGCCATGGTGTTATGTATAACCTATCACATAGAGTTTCTATCATATTACACGCAACACGACTCAGAAAAGAGATGCTTTTCAAAGACTCTAATGGTATGCTCTAAAATTAAAAGAATGAAATACAATTTTTTTCTAGCTTTTTTTTTTCTGTCAATTCCTAAACTGTAAACATCCTTAGTAAGTCATATACATATCAATGCAAAAACTGTGTTGAGTGATAAATTTGTAGCTAGAAACACATTAATGTATACTAGGAAATTACTTCTCAGAAATCCATATATATATATATATATATTCTAAATATAAGAATATATAAGGGAGTTCAGGAGCCACACATCTTAGATTTATTTTTAACTTAACTACAATTTGTATATAAAGGCGCAGTTGAAGAGAGAAGGCATTGAAAAGTTAAGCCCTTATAGATTTCTGAAAGTTTTTTAATATTAACATTAATAATAACTAGATATAGTAAGATTGGTAAATTAAAGTAAGTAAAAGTTTTAAGTTAGAGTTTAATGGTGTAAATTTTACTACAATGATAAATTAGGCTTAGTATGTGTAACGGTACTTTATGCTTAGGTATATTTCAACTTACTGGTATATCGTAAAACAGGATAAATACATTGCTTTATTAAATAAGTACATTCCAAAAACTAGTTTATTGTCTCTTGGTGTTTTAAAAATTAACTTGTTTACTTGAACTTAGATCCATTAGTTTAAATTCAGCTTATAGATAAATCAGGCTAAAAATATTTCATTATTAACGTTACATATATTGTTCTAATAACTTATTAAGTTCTATTTCTAAGTTATTTATAGTTAAAGATAAACTTTATTACTTTGATGTGAAGAGTAATTATTAATAAAAATAACTGGGTCTTAAACATTAGGCTTAACAGTAACAGTGTTAACAATAGGCTATAAGTATTGTTACGTCTCCGTGTGTTAATTGA